CGCACCTCTAGGGTAACCTCACTCGTTGCTTTGGAAAATAGTCATGTCCCTCGAATATGGGAAGTTTTAGCAAAGACCCTTCAATAAAAAAGATTGTAGTCCCTCGATAACCCTCGATGTTGCCTCCGGTAAAACGATCTAGTCCCTTACAAAAAATTGCTAAAGCGTCTCATAAGTTGTTGTCGATGACTGTAAGATTGACTCGCGCATGTCCCTTCACATCCAACGATGGGGCTTCTTACCAAATCAATGGTAAGATAGCAACATCTAAAGTAGGAAGAAAAGAACATTTAAGACCTTTCGAGTAGGTAGATTCGCTCCTAGTGCTCGCTTGCTCAGGACAAAAAACATTTTTACACCGACACTTTCATCTCAAAACATTTTCAAAAAGACAAAACATTTTGTATACATTCTTATAGAGACGAGAACCATTGCAAAACATCTTTTCAAAACCACTTTCAAAAACACATTCCACAAACACATCTTTGAACTATTTTTTGAAACAAAACTTTGTACGCGTTCTTATAGAAACGAGAACCATTACAAAGATATTTTCAAAATACTTTCAAAACCCACACCACAAGCACATTGTCAAAGCAAAAGTAAGTGATCTAGCGAGTAACTAAGAGCCCGTAGATAACTACGGATGAAAAGGGTGCTAATACCTTCCCTTTTCATAATCTACCCCCCGAACCCGAGAAATAATCTCGAAAGGTCTTTCCTGTGCTTTTTCACCTTTCCTATTAGATAAAAGAAAAGTCGGTGGCAACTCTTGCTATACGTACAAATGCAATCAAATGCAAAATAAAAAGTCAGTTCTCCCACCGTATCACAATATCCATAGATATTGGTTATTGAATCACCGTTTGATAAATCATTCATTAATGAGTTTGGGGTTTGAATGGTATAGAAAATTATCAACAGAAAATAAATCTATAAAAAGGAAAAAGGATTAACTTATCAAGAATGCATACATACTACTTCTCATAGACTTAAACCTATCGACCAGTTATACTCAGCCTACAATACTCCTCAGAATCATCTAGCATTTCTCACTCCCTAAGTTATTTCTAACCCAAAGTAGAGAGAACTAATATATCAACTTGGAGATGATCTTTTAGCCAACCTCAACAACATAGAAAACATCCATATTACTCGTATCGACGATCTCTCAACCGACACAAACAACGCAAAAGCATTAAGCTTCGACACCCATAAAGATTGTTAGCTCTAAATATATCTCTATAATCCAGGAACTAACATATAATCATCCTAGATAAGTATTTAAGCAGTATATGTCTATAACAACTTAAATCCCTAGCACAGAGCAAAAATCTAGGACAATAATCAACAAAGATTTGTAAAGCAAGCTTTATATAACACCATTGGCGACAAATATACATAAGTTCAAAGTAAAATACATACAAAACCAAACAAAATAGAAATACATAGAGAGGAGAAGAGATAAACCATAAATCTTTCGGTTTGCCAGCTCCGGTCAATGAGAAATCCACCTCCAATCATCCATAAGCAAAGCCCTAGTGTTGTTATCTAAGCTAATCCACTATAAAAATAAGGTTGATAGAGTTGGAAGGAAAAAAATCACGCCCAAAACAATAACTCTCAAAATGAAAAGAAAAGGAAAGTATAAGGAAATTTTGTTCTGCGAAAATCGCCCGACAACTAAAAAGCATCGCCCAACGATTCCTTCTATACACATGGCCCAGGTTTTTCCACGTCCTCATCTTCTCAAAATATCTACCGTCACCCGGCGACACAATGCTTCGCCCGACGACTCTTCCTATTTTTGTCTGGCGACCTAGACACGAAGCAAGGCTGAGGCAACATCAAAATTGGTCTTCTAAAGTCGCCCACTGTCGCAAGCGACGGGCATTGCGCCTGGTGATGCATGATAGTTCAGCAACTTTTGTTGCTTCCACTGCATAACTTTTAATGGCTCTCTATTTTTCCTTATTCCTTTATTGATCCAAAAATGCATCTTGGAGCTTTATTCTTCTTGCTCCAATAATGCTCAAATACCTACAAAACATATACAAAACTAATCAATTAATATAATATGTACTCAAAATGCAACTAAATGTATTTACAAAAAAAAGCAAGGTTATTCAACTGATATTAACAATAAAGAGTCGATAAGTGCAACAAAAAGTATATACAAAATAACTACACTTTTGCACTTATCACCATCTGATTTTCTTCTCCCAGAATATGGCTAAAAGTAATCTCTGTAAACTCTACTACTAGCTTTAAAACACGATCCCAATATGGAATCAATCTAGGATGTTTAGTGTATCATTCACAATTAACTTGGTATATGACTAGCGTTGAGTCTCCAAACACTTCGAGATGTTTGATTCTTAGATCAATAGCAGCTTCTAGACCAAATATACAAACTTTGTATTCAGTGATATTGTTGGTGCAGTCAAAACATAGTCTTACAATATAAGGCTTGTGAAAATTCTTCCAAGAAGTCAAAACTGCCCCAATATCGTACCCTAGTGCATTTAAAGCCCCATCAAACATGAATGTCCAACATTCCCCTGGTTCAGGTCCTTCATCGGGCCCCGGTATTTTGTATTCACCTACAACCATGACATCTTCGTCCGGAAAGTCAAACTTCATTGGTTGATATTCTGGTAATGGCTGATGAGCTAGATGGTCGGCTATTACACTACCCTTTATGGCCTTTTGAGTAACGTATTGGATGTCGTACTCTGATAGTAACATCTTCCATCGGGAAATCCTTCCTATAAGAGTTGGTTTTTCAAACACGTACTTTAAAGGATCCATTCTTGAAATTAATCACGTGGCGTGAGTTAGCATGTACTGCCTCTATTTTAGTAGCCCAGGCCAATGCACAACAAGTCTTCTCGAGAAGTGAGTACCTGTTTTCATAGTCGATGAATTTCTTGTTGAAGTAGTATATTGCATATTCTTTTCAACCTGTTTTGTCATGTTGTCCCAATACACATCCCATTGACCCTTCAAACACTGTTACATATATGATGAGTGGTCTTTCGAGAACTGGTGGAATCAAGATTGGTGGCTCTTGTAAATATTTATTTATTGTCTCAAAGGCTGTCTGACAATCATTATTCCATACCATCGTCTGATCTTTTCGCAGTAATTTGAATAGAGGCTCGCACGTAGCAGTTAGGTGCGATATGAACCTTGAAATGTAATTCAATCATCCTAAGGAACCATGAACCTCTTTTTCTGTCCTCAGAGCTGGAATTTCTTGTGTGGCATTTACCTTGTCGGGGTCTACCTCAATACCACGTTGACTTACAATAAAACCTATACTTGCCTGACTTGACACCAAATGTACACTTGTTTGGATTCAAATGCAGTTTGAACTTTCACAGACACTCGAATAATTTTTGTAAATGTATGATGTGATCCTCCTCTGTATGAGATTTGGCAATCATATCATCTACGTCGACCTCAACTTCTTTGTGAATCATATTTTGGAATAGTGTGACCATAGCTCATTGATAAGTTGCCCTTGCGTTCTTTAGACCAAAAGGAATCACCTTATAATAGAAAGTTCCCCAAGATGTCATGAAAGTAGTCTTTTTCATATCCCCGGGTTCCATTTATAACCTGAGAAACCATCCATGAATGAGAACACTGAAGCTTGTGTTGTATTATCCACCAAAACATCTATATGAGGTAACGTGAAATCGTCTTTGGGACTTTCTTTGTTCAGATCCCGATAATCTAAACACATACGTACTTTGTCATCCTTTTTTAGTACTGGTACGATGTTAGCTATCCAAGGTGGATAATCTACCACCTCTAAGAACCTTGTTACAAATTGTTTAAGGACCTCTTCTCGAATCTTGCTTGACATGTCTGGACGGGTTCTTTTGAGCTTCTGTTTAACTGGAGAACAACCTTCCTTGAGAGGTAGTCTATGCATCACAATATCTATATCCAATCCTGACATGTCTCTGTAAGACCAGGAAAATATATCTACATATTCATGTAACAACTTGATCAGTCTTTCTTTGACGCTTTTCTCCAATATTGTCCATAGCTTGATCTCTTTCGGATCTTCCTTTGTGGCAAGGTTGATGATCTCGATTGATTTATGGTATGGTTGTATATTGTCAAATTTTTGCTCTATCTCCCTTGACAATTCTTCAGAGATCTCAAGATCTTTATCATCTTCCTCTTCTGCTTGGTTGATGGGTGCATCAAAATTATATCGAATAACAGCAGTAATATTATCGGTGATTTTAGGCATGGATCTGCATATTTTATTATGTTTTAATGTAGTTTTAGTATGTGAATTTGAAAATGCATATGAAGAAAAGTATTGCCAACACTACAACATTTAGGCTCTCCAGCAACAATTGAAAAACGTTTCCAGAACTCTGAAAATCGTTGCCTAAAACAATAGGGGACGTTTTCTAGGCGTCTCCTGTGCGAGCGTTGCCTATTGTTTGAGGCGACGTTTTTTTATGTTTTTTGGGAACGCTTTTGAAAAACGTCGCCTATAGTAAAGGAATAGGGGACGATTATTTACGGCCTCTGAGACAAACGTTTTTTAAGCGTTGCGTTGCCAAATTCGGCTACAATTAACAATCGTTGCCTTAAACCTGAATCAGAAAGATCGTTTTTGAAGTGTAGCCATAGATTATAGGTTGTTGTTTTATAGTGTCCACATAAAATATACAATTTTGCAATTATTATCAAAATAATATAGTCAATAATAATTGGCTTCAAAAAAAATATTGATTATATAACTTAAACCATACATCCATAAAAGTTGTAATATAATAAAATCGAGTTCAAACTTTAATTCAAGATATAGTATATAGAGTACACAAAATGCCTAACGTAACAATATTACTTTTAATACTTTGAAGTATGACCCTAGTAAAATAACTAAAAACATAGTTCAGCAAAAGAACAAAAATCATATTTCAAGTTTAATGCTTTCAACTACAAGCCAAAAAAAAACATCATCCAACTCATTTAAGTTTGTCTTCTAGGAGTAAAGCATCCAGATCGTCCTCTTGAAATTCGTTAGATATGTCATCCTCCATAAATTCTTCATCTACGTCGTCCTCTTGAAATTCACCATCTATATCCTTATCAGTTACAATGTGGAAAACATGTTTGGAGGAATCCTAAAAATTTATTAAAACTACATTATTATTATGCTGATCAGAAAGAAAAATACCACCATTATATTGTAACAGATAAGGTTTTTGTTTTCATTTTTTATCCATCACTACCTCTAGGCACAAATAAAATGAAAACATATTAGTTTGTTAAAACATTGAGAGAATAGTAATTTAACTGCAGAGAGATACTATAACAGATTATTTTATTTGGTGTTCAGTTTCATAATCCTGGCGAATAAAAACAACTCAGGAAATCTCCACGTGAAAATAACTTACCTTAGCATGGGCAGCAGTAGAATTCACAACAACAGTTGTGGCCAATATGTTATCTGAGAATATTGCATAATGGTATAGTCCAGGGTCTTCTAACTTCTCTTGATTGGGGAATTGTTGCTGAGAAGAGTTCAAGTTATAGTATTCAGTTGTAAGGCGCAACGGAAGACAATGGAGACCTTTAGGCAGTGTTTTAGCTGTCAACTGTGTTAAGAATAAGGTCTGTTTCTTGTGCACGCGAAGCTGGTCCTCTGATGAGTGGAGCATAGCCCTAAGCTTCTTCACGGATGTGGCACAATCATCTTGAATTTGCCTTGCTTTCATCAATGATTGCTCTATTGCCTTCATTCTCTCATTTGCACTGCATTAGTAGAATTACAAATATAAGTTCAAACTGAATAAAATGTAGATCATGAAGACCTGAACTATTCAACATATTTGTATGCTACTTCCCAATAAAGCTAAATATGAAATAACTAACGTAATGGCTATATAAAAATAGGAAAACCTGGTGACAAGTACAAAAAATACATTCTTAAAAACTCACTTACTTCCTTGGCAAGTCAGAATCTTTGCTTGCCTCTCCAATTGTTCGTGAAACTTCCTTTACCCGTAGCCAAAGTTCCCGAGTGAGATGGGGAATGTTCCTAACTGACTGAAGGGAAAGATAAACTTTAGCTTGGATGAGCTGATCCTTTAGTTTCCGTACTCGAACATCAGGCGGTGTTTCGTCACGATGCTTGATATTGTTTACTTTGCTAGAAGATTCAATATGTTGTTTCCCTTGCATAGTAAGCTGAAAGAAGATACACCAAATTTAAAGAAAAAAATTTCAGTAAGCACTATGGTTGGTTTTTCTTCATTGCATTAATGTAATTTTCAGACATATATGGAAAAAAATGAGTGTTGATTGCAACACTCATTTGTTTTTTTTTTTCAAATTAACGGAGCTAGCCAGGTATGGAAGGAAATGATTGAAGTTAATACATGTACGGTCCTAAAACCGTGACCATAGATAGAGTTCCAATAAAAGAAAATATAAAATTTATTAATTGATAGCTAGATATAACTTCTATTCTTTTTTATTGTTTCAAACTCAAATTCTAACTTGAGACAATATAAAATACATATTTATCAAAGTCAAAACAAAGAAGGAGATGGAAGGAAAGATTGAAGCATGCATGTGTTGTATTTATTTACACTGCCAGATTTTAAACTCATAATAGGAAAACCAATCAAAGAAAGTATACTAAATACTGTATTTGATAAATGATGCACAACCCACTCGTATAAATAAACATGCATAACTTTCCTAGCATGATCAGAAACCTGAGAAAACTTTTGTACCCTTAATGAACAAAGTACTACAAATCACAAGCAAAACACGAGGTAAATATGTCACTTACTAAGACCTCAAATGCTTTATTAGAAGCATTAGATGATTTAGTAAGTCTCTCATCATTGTCGTCAGCATCAATAGCATCTTCCTCATATGTGACATGTTCAATGGAGTTCTCCCCTTTAACTCGACCTTCCTCATTCGTAGCTGACAATACCCTGGATACTACACGTTCCCCTGTTTTCACAAAGTACAAATCTAGGTCAACCAAACAATTAGAATAGACAGTAATTAAAAAGTGGCTGCAAATATTTTTTGAAATATCATATGTTTCTACACCGACTTCCCACAATATCTTAAGCTCCTCAATAAGTGGCTGCAAATACACATCAATTTCATTTCCGGGTGACTTTTATCATAGATTTTGTTTTATTGAAAGAGACAGGGATGTTCAAATCTGGCATAGCCTCTTTTAACAACTCTACGAGAGCAGTGAATGATGCATTACAGAATCAATTACCTTTAAAACTACAATCAATTTACAAACACATTAAGATGTTTCCTAAAAAAACTATTTCTCTAAGGCTATAAAGTGAGAGACAGACAGTTAAGAAAGGGATGGGAGATAGTGAGAATAGCTAAAAACAAATGCAGTAAAGAATTGTTACATAAGTTTACCTTTTCCGCCGCACTTCCTGCATCCCCCGGAACTGTGTCTCCCGCAACAACCCTCCACTCCACCAGCTTTTGCAAAGACACAACTGTCATCATCGCCTTCGGCAGATTGCGCAAACCCAAGATCGCACGACATCACCGACAACTCAACCACGACACAAAACCCAGACCTCTGGGACTCGATCTCTCATCCGCGACACCATCTCCAAGCGCCATTGATACCGAACCCACCGCGAAGCCCCATCTATTCATCACATAGCCACACCCAAGGCCACCAGAATCTGGATAGGAGGACAACACCGTCGCCGAATCGGGTTTTGATCTAGGGTTCATTATGTTGTTGTTGTTTTAGGTGTGAGGTAAGAGAGACAGAAGATGAGGGAGAGAACACGAAGAAAAAATGTGGAAGGGAATAATGGACGGTGTGGCTTTTATATTTTTTGTTATTTTCTGTTTAATGAAAATTTTTTTAATACATATATATATAAGTTTTAGAGAAATATTAATAATGTGTTAGAAAAATTCCTGTTTAATTGAAATATATATAAGTTTTAGACTATAATATATATATATATATATATATATATATATATATATATATATATATATATATATATATATATATATATATATATATATATAATTTTTTATTTTCTGTTTAATTAAAAAAATTTATTTTTAAATTCCTGTGTTAGAAAAATATTTTTTTATATATATATTAATAATGTTTAGATAAAAATATTTGTTTTTTAGTGTATAAGTTTTGGAGGGAAGATTGCCACCAAAAATTTGATAATTCTAAAAAAATTTATACAACATTTCAGAAATGTAGCCTTTTATTAGAACTAATGTAACAATCTAAAAATGTCCCCAAAAATATTTTAGGGGACAATTGTCAAACATTGCTAAAGAAATAATATTTTAACGCTCTAAAATCGTCCCCAAAAGCAGTTAAGGGCACAATTAACAACCGTTGGCAAAAAAATAAAAGAGTATCGCTCCATAAACGTCCCTAAAAGTATTTTAGGCGACGATTATCAAGGGTTGCAAACATATTTTTGACAACAATCGTAAATCGTTGCCTATATGAATTTAAGGCAACAATTTCTACATGTTACCTAAAAAAGTGTTGTCAGAGACAATAAATGTTGTAGTGCAATTTTAAAACATAGGAAATAAATGCAAGAGAAAGACAACGATCTTAATTGAATACAAAATATAACTCTTATTAATTGTGAATAGTGTTTGAAGCAAATCGGGGGACCCTTACAAGCTACTCCTATACCTTGAATTTGACATAGGTTCTTTCAAAAACAAACTACCCTTATATCTCTAGATACGTTATCGTTGTCTAACCACATATAATTCCAAGACTTTAATAATCACTTGAAAAAGCTAAAATTATTCTTGTGCTTATTGAGTCACCGTTATTTAATGAGCTTTTGCTATTCATAAGCTATGATACAAAGTTGTATACATAGCTTATGGAAACATAAAATACAGCGAACTGGAGAGAAACATGACAAACATGAGGCGCCATATACCCATAACAATATAAAAAAAATACACCTTATCAGCTAAAAAATATGTTATTCTGACACCATTTTTTCACACTACACCTTATATACTATTCACAAATACGTGAACAGTATATATGTATTATTTTAATTTTTAATGTATTTTTTTTTTAAATTATTTTGATTAATGAAATATTAAAACTTAGTTAATACACTTAAAAGTTTGGTTAATATATATTTTGATAAAAAATTTAATATATATACCATATAGACTTTGGTTAATATTATATATAAAATTGGTTAATACAATTTATAATTTGGTTAATGAATTCTCAAATATAAAAAATATTAAATAGTAAAATAAAATTGGTTAATAGAGTCTAAAAAATTGATTAATAAATTTATAAATCAGTGTAAGAATATAGTTAATAGTATGTATTTTATTGGTTAATGAAGTAGTGAAATTAGTTAATGAATTATAAGTAAAATAATTGTTTAATAATATATATTTTTATGGTTAATACAATTGTAACGTTGGTTAATAGCACAAATTTCTATTTATATATTATAAACTAAATATTTTTTAAAAAAAATAATATTATATTATTTCATTAAAAAACACTGTTCATTATATTGATAAACAGTTATATGAAATAAGGTCTAAGTATTTGTGTGGTGTGAAAATAGCATACATTTACCCGCTAATGTAGCCAAACAAAGTCGAATTCAATAGGCCATGATGTCTTGGCCAACATGATTAATTATTTCTATGAATATTACACTTGTAACTTTTAGAAAAATACAATCAATCAATCAAAATCAAACTATTTTTACAAATTTATCATTCATCTTTCAGTTTTATTTTTTTATTCATGTATTTCTTAGTTTAATAAGTAAAAGAAAATACAGCTTTATACTTAATCATCTTTAAATAAAATAAATAACTCATAAGTAAAAGACATAGTTAAAAAAAAAAAATCAACTGGATCTCCCCACAACTTTGTTTTTTGGATGAAGGATATAAACCAATCCTAATTAACCATGAGCAATGTGAATGGGATTTTCGAACAGTTCTCTATAATTGCTTGAAGTAATATTAAGTTCTCATGAATCATGTAATGATATTTCACATGTGACTATGTCTCGAAATGGACGACACTGAAAAGTTGCTTAAATCATTTGTGTCAGCAGATTTATTTTTGAGCTTTAAAAAGTAATATGTGGCAGTATAAAATATTTTACACGATTAATATTTATAACTTTTAAAAATATATATTTTACATGTAATTTAAAAAAAGTCATGTTTTTATAAAAATTAATGGTTATAATAAACTATTTTATACTATTAGTATTTTTCATTAAATCCTTCATTTTTTGTTATATAGACAATTTGAAATATTGTAGTTTAAATTTTCATTTGTGAAGTTAAAATTAAATATTTTACAAACTATTTCATGAACAAGAAAATTTAACAGTAGACATTTATAATTATAATTTCACCTTTATAAAATATTTAAAAATAATAATAATTTTGTTCTATTTCACTTCACCTCACAAAAATTTCAATTATAAAAAGTTTTTTCTAAAATTTAATAACTGAATTCTCCGTATAAATAATAACACAATTATTTGCAGAAAAATTGTGAAAAATTAATCTGACTTATATTATAAGCAATTTTGTATTTAAAGAAGAGTACTAGAGATATTCTGATCCAATTACATTAATGAATCATATAATTAAGGAAAATTATCAATATAATTTAAGATAATAAAGACTTTTACATCACTCATAAAAATTAGAATTGAGTTTTTTTTTTTTGCCAAGCCACCACAGAGTGAATCTTAACTTTGAACACAATTTTTTCTGAATCCATTACTACACCTTTGAATATGATTTCATTTCTAATTCTCCATACACACCAACATACAACCAGTAAAATGTCTCCCATCCATTTGTTACTTACTTGCCCTTTCAACATCATACCAACCTTTAAGAAGTGACTTCAACAACCTTCTTCAACAATAATGTCTTTACCCAGCCAAATTTGAATCTTATCCCACACTTTCCTCACCATAGGGAAATATAACATTACTTGATCAATATATTTCTCCGGTCTGAAAAAGAGCACACATACTTTATCACGAGAGCTATGAATAATTCCTCTTTTAGATAATTGCATCCTTGTTGGTAACCTGTATGTTGTACCCCAAAATTTGCTCTCTCATATTATCCAGATTTTTTTCACAAGACTTCTAAGACTCCGGACAGGATTATGGTTTGCTCAGCTCAAGACATCTTTTTCCACCGATGACCTGAAATTAAGGTTTGAGTTTGCACAAGGATTTTTGGACCATCAATGCTTCCTATGACTTTCATACACCATCTTAGACCCCTAAGATTGCTCATACCAAGTTTCAAGCCTTGAATCACATTTTTGCCCAGTCAATTGGACAATTGACCTAAAAATCAGCTGTATTGGGAAAAAATCAACCATGGCCAATTTACAGTCAAACTTCATAATTTTTGATCCACAACAACATTCTAGGCTCATATGTACCATTTGATCAAGTCTGAACCACAACTCCTCAAGAAATTTGATCAAATCATCAAAAGGGCAAAATGGTCAAAATTAGGGTTTTGACTGAGAAAGGGCAATTTCTGATTTTTAACCTAGCCAATGACCAATTGGGTTCAAGCATTATTTCAAGGACTCAATGGAATCATCTTGACCTAATCACATAGTTCAAAAGATCTCAAATGCATATGATTGACAGATAAATTTTGCAGTCAACTGATCAAAAGTCAATTGTACACTGAAAAGTCAAACTTTGACTTTTTGGTCAAAATCAAGTGCCAAGGGTTATAATTCATCAAGATATGTAAAAATATGAAACTTGTTGATCAAGAAAATCAATTTTGCAAATTAGGGTTTCAATTTGAAAATTTTCCATAACTTAGAAATTTTCTAAGTTATGAAAATTTCTTATTTTTTCCCAACTTTCCACAACTTTTTCACCATGATGAAATTGGATTCAAAAAAAACTTCCAACATGAAAGTTGTATTCCTCCATGAAATCTACAACTTTGATCCACAAAGTTTTCCTAAAAGATGCTTGGATCTCAAGTTATGATTTTGTGAATAGTGGTCCATAAACTTTTTAACTTAGTGAAATTTTGCCCTAGTTTAGGCAGATTTTTTACCTAACTTCATGGACATTTTTCACCTAGTTCCAAGAGGTATATCAAAATTCATTTCAAAGATGTATTGTAGAGAATGTTACAAGTTTTCCAAAATGTCTAAGAACTCTCCAAGATCATTTATGGTTAGGGAGAATCGAAGAAATGAAAATGGCAATTTATCACTTTTGTTTAAGGCAGTTTTCACAATGTTACAAGTTGCAAATCAGTTTCAAACATGCTTGTACTTGGTTTTACAGGTCCTAATCCCTTCTACACTCCATAATTGAATGCTAATTTATTGGACAATGGCTTTATTCTGACCTATGGAGCTTTGCACAATGAATTAATCCATTTATGGCATAAAGTTCTCAATACCATTTTCATAAAGCTTGCTTTTTTCAATTTGCAAATCTTGAGCCATGGACCTAATCTTTTGCTGCAAACAATATCCAAAAATATCAGGCAACTTGTACCAACTATGTGCAGCTAGCAAGCAAGCCTGTACAGGCTTTGGCATTGTCACTTCCAACTTTCCTTCAAAAGCAAGAAACTTGCAAAAGTCAAGACAACTCATCCATCTGATAAAGGCAAGCCTTAGCCTCATTTGAACCAACCTCAGAACTTTGTAACAAGCC